ATGCCTTGCTTTGGCTAGTTGATTCCAATGCCATACAGACCTAAATAGACTTCAGTTTTGACTTTTAAAGATGGAAATTGGTAGTTAATTCTTCCCTTGACTTTTGACATTTGGTTCTACTAAAGTCTAAAGATCCTATCTCTGCATGGGAGAAATTTGACTATGTAGTCATATCTTTCATCATAGCTTGATTTGAATGATAATATGAAGTCCAATTGAAAAATGCATTTAATAGTAAACCTACTCCCATAAAGAGTCAGTCTTGGAAACCCACAGGGGTTGTTCTACCCTTTCCTTCAGGGTTGCCAGAATTGACTGGAGGCAGTGAATTTGTTTGTTTGTTTGTTTGCATCATCCAGGTAAGTTACAAAAATGGGAAAGCTCTAAATTATTCCATTTTAGTAACTTATATCCTAAATCATGTGCCTCATTGTGTCTCAGAAAAATCACTTTAAATTAAGTAAGAATACTGTTTATACTCAAATGTTTGAACAAAAAAGATTAGTAATTTTCCATGGAGCAAGGAATCATTAGAATGATAAAAATGAATGGACTCTCCCAGAAAAGAAGGTGTCATTATAAGAGTGAGAAAGAAGTTGGCAAAAGAGGCAAACATATTCAGAATGGTTTGAGGCTAGAAAGAGGACTGTGAGGAAAATTCAATTTAAAAAGACCAAAGTGTAATAGAGCGGGTATCCCCCACCCACCCCCCAAAATGGAATTTCACTTGGCAGAGCAGAGCTTTCTTCCTATGCATTTTTCCCTGCCAGGCAAGAATCAAGCAACTTAATCTTAGTGCACCCAGTGGCATCACCTGGGAAGGTTCTCTCTGGTCACAGTCAATTTTTTGTAAAAGCAGTTTCGCTCAAACCTCATTTTTAGCAATGGCTGGTTTAAGAGAACAGCATGCAGTTGTGAAATTTTGTTTCCTGCTCTGGAAAAATGCCACAGAAAGTGTAGTGATGTTGAACACAGCTTACAAGGACAGCACTGTGGGAAAAACTCAAGTGTGTGAGTGTTTTTCATCTTTTTTTTTTTCCAGTCACTCCTTGAACACCGATTATCCAGGAGCCTAAAGGCCCTGGTGGTGACACATTGTGCTGCCAACTGCCAAGTCGATAGTTCAAAACCACCACCCACTTCTTGGGAAAAAGATGAGGCTTTCTACCCCCCCACTGTAACTAAAGAGTTACAGCCTTGGAAACCCACAGGGTCAGTTCTACTCTGCCCCATAGGGTTGCTATGAGCTGGCATCGATTTGATGGCAGTGAGTGTGAGGGGAAGGGACCTTGGTTATTCAGGGTCCTGGGTAAATGTCTGGCTGCTAGTCACAAGGTCAGTGGTTCAAACCCACCAGCCGCTCTGTGGGAGAAAAACGAGGCAGTCGTTCCTTATAATGGTTGACAGCCACGGAATTTCTAAGGAGCCCTCTGTTGTATTTCATGGAGTCATTATCGACCTGGTGGCAGTGGGTTTGGTTTATGGTCATTGACCAGGAGCCGTGGTGGCACTGTGGTTGCAGCACTCAGCAGGAGAAAGGAGTGGCTCTTCCAGGAGGATGAGCAGTCTTGGAAATGCCATCGGGAAGGGAAAGCGCCCCTTTGCTCTGGAGGCAGCCGTTGACTCGACACTGACCGGTTTCTATGATGAATTTAATGGTAGCATTTCCCCACCCCCCTCCTCCTCATACTCAGAACAGGGTTCAATCCCCAGCCAGGGCACCTCATGCCTGGCCACCAGCCCTCTGGCAGTGGGGGCCGGGCTGGGGCAAAGATGCTGATTGACCAGGTTTCAGTGATGAATCCAGATGCAGAGACGAGGGAGAAAGGCCTGGCAACCAACGTCCAGAACTCAGCCCAGTGTGAGTGTTTTTCTTGCTTCAAAACAGGTGAACTGTCAATTGATGGAAAACATTGCTCTGGACATCCTTCAACGTCCTGATCAGATGAAAATGTTGACTCATAGTATGTTTGCAGTTCGTTCTACCAGGACAGACTTTTAATCAAGCTTTCTATTTAAAGGTTGAAAAGATTGCATAACAGTGTGCTACCAAAAAAGGCTTGATTTGTGGCAGATGGGGGACTGGTTTGGCCACCACGACAATGCACCTGCTCAAGCAGCCATCTCAGTGCACCAGTTTTTGGCACAAACAACATGCCTCGCTTGCTGACACATCTTGTTCACCTGACCTCACTCCATATGACTTTTTTTTGTTTCTTCAAATGAAGAGGGACCTGAAAGGATAGCCATTTGATGATTTATTAGAGGTGAAGTAAAAAACGAGGGAGGTGGTCTCAGCCATCCAAAGAGATGAGTTTGGAGAGTGTTTCCAAGACTGGAATTGCAGAGTTGACAAATGTATTCAGCGTAATGGAGAGAACTTTGGAGACAAGTTTGTTTTGTAAAAAAATGTAAATGCATAGAGTTGAAAAAATTTTTTGGGTTTTGGGGGGTACCCCTTGTAGAATTTAAAGGGAATTCAAAATTAAGTGTGATCAACACTGCCATATAGAACAAAGAAATCCAATAACAACACAGATGAAAATAAATGCCCATTTGGCAATATATTGTGATTTGCACCATAGGACAGTAACTCACCAGGGCAGCACTCCCTAGTTTAAGTGTCCAAACTCAATACCCGAGGGAGTGAATAGGATGAAGTAGAAATTAAGCAATTAAGGATAATTGCAGAATATTTTATTTTCAACACAATTCAGCTAGAATAAAGGAAAGACTTTAGAAGATCAATGTATTTACCATTACCTATAAGTTGAATTGGGGGGTGGGGGGAAGGAATAGTGGAAGTAAATTGAAGGAGAGGAAGTGAAAATTGTATAGGGCTCACTCATTCATTTAATAAATATTCTATGAGAAGTTGCAAGTGCGGGATCCTGTCCAGGGTACTAGGGATGAGAAAGTGAACTCAGTAGCCAAATGAAGGGGCAGACAGGTCATAAGATAGGTGTGATATCTGCACTGCCCTCCCTTCTCCTGTGTTCTCCCTTCTGATTGTTGCTGTGAGCTTTTCTCGTTCCACTTCCAGCTTCTCTGGCAAGAATCAGGAAGGCGATCAAGTTTCATAGTTAGGGTTGTGGGAGATTTAACACAATAGGCACAACCAACGAGGAATGGCCACCAATAAACAACTATTTTTTCGTTACATGACTCAGTGAACAATTTTGAGAGCTACCATCCTCAGGTTTGCTCTCAGTGGTGACTTCCAGAATGTGCCCTAAGTCCATTTTTAATTTTCCGCTCATTCTTCTATGAAGCCTGCTTCCTGCCTGCAAACATGATCTGCCCTCAGACTTTGCTTTGGGGTATGGGTGTAAATTACAAGACACAAGATAAATATGCTGTATATCTAGATCCTTATAAGAGGAGAAAAAAGAAATGCAATTGTGTGTGAGAATGAGAAAATGAAAGAACCTTTCACATAAACACTATGCATCAAACACACTTGGAAAGTGCTCAACATGCAGTCTCTCAACAACCCTATGCGAAAATACTATGATCTTCATTACTGAGGAGAGAAAACTGAAGTAGAAAGGGACTAAACACCTTGTCTAATCTCATACTTCTGGTACCGTCTGTCCCAATATGATTCAGGTTGTTTTACTTTCTTCAGGGTTCAGCACCGTCAATGAGACATTTTAAAGTCATTCTATGCATTTAAACCCATTTCTTCTCCTCCCCTTCTGCAACCTATAAGCAAAACCTTTTCAGAACATCGTCTTTGTCTAATTGGCATTCAGTTGGGTGAAGGTGAATCTTCTAGATAAATGTGTTCCGTTGTGTAGCCTTTGGTGTGACTCTACGCTTGTCAAAGAAGGCTTCAATCAGTTGGTGATTGTTACTTTTTAGTTATTACCTCTCTATGTCAGTCTTTTGAGAGGAATTGGAGAGATGATAGTCTCTAAATTCTAGACTTTATGCCTTTGCATATTAAACATACTCTTTAATAAAAATGAAGGATCATAATCTCATTTTAGTTAGCGGTCCTAGATTTCTATGAGTCCGAATCGACTTGATGGTGAGTTTGTTGTGTGGTTTTTCCTCTCGCTCAGAGTCCCTGACAGCTGGGCAGTGACTGGCATTGTCAGCGGCCGTCTTGCCCTTGGTGTTGGGAGGAACAGGTCTGGCCTTCTCAAGCCACAGTACCTCCCAGTTAAACATAACATTATTCACAGAATGACAATTCAGACAAGTTCACCCTGAGACCTTGGTGAATAAAACATATTTCAACACTGTCAATAACATTGATACTGTCCAAACCACAGAAACCATTTACCATCATTCTATCTTTCCTAATATAAGTGATTGCTGCTTCTTTAGCCATCAGCTTTAGCTTCACTCTGTTCATCCCTTCTTCTAATTAAGATTGATGAAGATAGCCAATCACAGAATTACTCCTACTTGCTGACAGCATCTAATCCAGAGCAAAACCTTGCTTCCTCAAAGCTTCCCTCAAACCAGCTAGCACAAAACGAGAACACTTATACCTTCTCTTAACTTCCTTCTTTGTGGCCCATTGTACCTTATTGTGTGTATTCCTGCCACTGCATCGAACAATAAATCCAACGTGGTCAAAGACACGTGTGCTTCGGGGGCCAGAAAACATTGACCCACATGTGACATTTCTCTACATCTTTCCCCGCATATTTCTTATTTCCCACATCTTGTTATGCGCCGGGCTTTGATCCACCAGGCTAGCTGTTCAAACTCCCAGCTGCTGGGTTAGAGAAAGACGGGGCTCTCTAAGCCGGTCAACAGTCTCAAAAACTCACAGGGGCAGTTCTACCCTGTCCTCTAGGGTCGCTATCAGCACTGACTCCGTGGCAATGAGTTTGGTTTTTGTGGTACGGTGGGCACTAAAACTCGCTCTCTGAAATTGTACGCAAAGGCCTTGTTCTTGATTTAATAAATTTAATTATTTAACTAATTAATAACTGATTTTTCAATAAATGAACATGTGTTTTATATATTTTTTTCTTCTTTAGGAGCCAACCGCTATTTCAGCAATGGAACTTTCTACAAAGCAGGTACTCTCATTCTGCAGTATAATCTAGTCTATAGTTTGTTAATTTTGTTTTAAATATTGTGAATTAGATATGTATACATATATTTATGTTATCTGGAAAATTTTACCGATTTTTTAACAGTTGTTTATAAATTACAGAGAAGAATTAATACCATTAAAAAAAATAAGATCATATAAATAAAAACTAAAAATTTAAAAAACTAAAAATAATTATCTTTGCTTCAATCTTATATTGTCAAAATCACTATGGCATATTACTTTGAATGATCTAAATATAGAATGTATTTATAAACATATTTCTTGGATCATTATATGTTGCAAATTGTAATTTATGTAATTTATATTTTGGCAACTGTACCAATTTCCCAATAGTTTTTTTTCATCTACTCTGAATCTTTATTTTGTTCTCACTCTTTTGTCTCTCTCTCTCTCTCTCTCTCTATATATATATATATATATACATATATATATACACCTACATACTAAAAATATACATAAAATATTGATGGCCACTTCAGACCATAAATAAATTTATAAATTTTAATTATATATAAAAACTAAATTTTATTAGTTAATGAACATATGTACTGAGAAATACATAGGTTTGGAAGAACTTTATTTCAATATTAATTTTACTTTTTCAGTAGTATCATATGCTAGAGAAAGACATATAATACATATATATACACATACATATCTATGGACAATGAAGTCAAGATATATGACTTTTAAGTTTGGCTAAACATAAGAAAAGAGCAGTAAAATGGTCACTGTCAAATCATAACATCTAAAGTTCCAAGAACTCAAAGGTTACAGGTAAGTATAAAAGGTTATTAATCCTTCCATTCATATTTAATGAATGCTTTGACAAGACAAGTAACTAGATCAAATGATTTCAAAATGTTAGCCAATATGTGCAAAATAAATATGATCGAATTTCCAATAAGTAATATTTTCTCTATATCTTGTTTCATAAAATAAACTTGGATAAAAACTGAGGTAAATTATGAAATAATCTGGCATTCGAAGTATAAAAAGCAGAATGGTATAGGGTGACTCTCACTACAATGAAAACTAATCTATACAATTATAAAATGTGAGAGTCATTTGATTAATCTTGTTTCTGCATTATTTATATGCTTATTTATGACCATGCTTTATTACCTGAACAAGACTTTAAAATATAAAGTGCCAATAAAATGTAATGTGTATCTATTTCACACAGCGATGTCAAAATAGCTTGATAATCTCCAAGGTATTTAGAGAAACTCCGAGTGCAGATATTATTGACTTTGTATTGTTATCTTACACCTCATAAGTATGTGTGCATCTGTTCTTATAATCCCCAAATTGTCAAGTGTTGGCAAGGAGATCCATGCTTTCCAGGATGGAAACGAGACGGGGAAATTCCTTCCCTTAATGATTTTTAAGATCATTTATTTATTCTTTACTAGGTTTCGTAGTCAGTCTTAATTATATTACTTCCATATTTTGCTTTTTAAAAAAACATTCCTTTCTGTCATAAAATTGTTAAAGCTACCTTAAAGAATTATCTATTAAACGCAACACACCACCAAAAAAACAGTGTGTCACTTTAATACCATGGAGTTTAGGGAAGAAAGTCGGCCTCATTGTCCATAGGTCTCTTTGTCCACCACTGGAAATTGTATTTCATTGAGCGAGGAATCAATTCCATGTATGTTTTGGGGGACATTTTAGAAGTTAAATGGTAGTTTCAAGAAAAAAGGCAAATAATGTTGCAACTAATTTTCTGGATAAATGGACTTGTTTCCTGCTTATGGCACACAATTGTCAGGAGGCTGTAAGAGAGCCTGGGGTGATGTTCAATTGGGCAGAAACTGCAGATCAAGTTCCTGGTTAGGAACTGGATTATGCTCAGTGAGGCCTGAAGACCTCCAGAATATTTCATCTTGATAGCCTAATTACTTGTGCACATCATTAATATTACTGCAAAGAAAATGTAAAATGGAAACTGGACGTTGAAGTGTATATAATTTTTGGCGTTGGTTTCCGACTTTAAATTTCCATCACCGTAACGGGATTTTCTAACTCCTTTTATGCATTACCTCATTATTTCTTTCCTAAAGGTGGATGACAGCTTTAAAGTAACCGCTCCTTTAACATAGCATGGTCTTTACAGAATCTATAAGTATAAATTTTGCTCATTTTTCTTAAAGAGATTTTGCCCCAAATGAAGATCTTTAGATTAAATATTACTAGCCTGATCAGTAGTTTCTTTAAAAAAAAAAAAAGTGTTGTAATCGCAATGTACATATACAAACTTAACCACGGCCGACTAGGTGTTGAATATTGCTACCACTCTTAAAACTTATCCTGTTGTTTCTTAAAAATTATGTATTCTCACCTTTTTTCATCTCAATGACAGTTTTATTTTCCTTAGAATCTAAGTTCATTAGAAAGAAAAGAGGTTATTAGAAAATTAAATAAGGGATAAAAAGAGAAAACAAACCCCCCAAAACCCAATTCCTTCCGTGAGTTCAGATCTTCACAGTTTTCAGATCGTTGTGGATTGCTGTCCCATAGGGGTCCTGTAGCTGCCTTAAGACTCAAGAAAGAACCCAACTATACTTTTTGACTTTTCTTCAGGATACTAAACAGTCATTTTGTAACTTGTCTTGGTTTATGTGAACCCCTAACATAATAATAAATAAGTGAATATGGCAACCAGTTATCTAATGAATATATAGGTGAGAAAGTAAGGCAAAAAGTATTGTTACAAACCATAGAATTGTTTCTTAAACAAAAATATCAAAAAGCTATCATTTCTCAACATATACTTCATCTATGTCTATGTACTTCTGAAGGTAGTGTTTCCTCTCTCTACCCCTTCCCTGAAGAATTCTGCAGGCTTGGATTTGCAACATATCAAAGGAACACTTTTGACATCCTTGTGATTTTTAAATTATGTTCCTTTTTCAATAGTTTTTGAATTTTAGGGGCTGGAGGGAAGAAATCTGAAAAGACAAGGCCAGGGCTGTAGGGGAATGAAAATCTGGTAGGACAGACCATGCTGCCCTTGGAGGTAGCATTCAAACCACCCCTGCCTTTCCCACCAGGGTAGTCACATACACCACTGAGGGCTTCTCCATGTGTTACTGCATGCTTAGGTGTTTAGATGGCTTTAATTTAGACTACAGTTACTCAGCGCCTTGGTGGCATAGTGGGTTATGTATTGGAGTGCTGATCGCAGCAAGATGAGCTGTTTGAAAAGACTAGCTGCTCCTTGGGAGAAAAAAGAGGCCTTCTACTACCATAAAGTTGGTCTCAGAGACCTACAATGGAAGTTCTACTCAGCTCTGTAGAGTCTCTGTGAGTCTGAATCAACTCGTTGGCCTTGGCTTTTACTTTTTGAGAGTGTGTAATTACTTGCGAGTTCCTGAGTGGTACAAAAGGTTAATGCACTCAGCTGCTCACAAAATACTACAGGTTCAAGCCCACCTATAGGCCCTTCAAAAGACTGGCAATTTACTTCTGAAAAACCAGCTATTGAACACCTAATGGATTTCAGTTGTATTCTGACATACATGAAATTGCCATAGGTCAAAACCAGCTCTATGGCAACTGTCTTTTTTTCTTTGTTACTGGCTGTGGTTACTCATTTCTCCAATCTAAGAGAGGGAAGCTGTTGCAAAAATTAGGTAAAGAAACAAGAACCGGTGTTTTTATATTAATCTGTGACTATAGTTTTGTCATAGAAAATTTCAAAATTATACTAGAAATCTGTTGTTTAATATTTCATGTTCTGATTTATTCTGTTATTCCAGTCTCATTTTGAGGATAAAGAAGTTTTACACAATTACATAATTTTAAAATTTTCGTTAGGTATATCTATGAGAAAGTTAAGAGTTTTACTGAAACGATCCAAATTATCATAGAATTAAAGCCAATGGAAAGTCACAGAGTGGCTATGGGACATGAGAGGAAAGAAGCCAGATCCCCAAGACCACACAGAAAGTTAGTGTAGGGAAACCCAGGAAGCTAGCTACCCAAACGCCCAGTGAAATGCTTTTTCACCAACACATTATCTTCGAGTCAGGTACACTGTAGCAGCGGAATCAATTTCCATCTTTAGTGATCTTTTAAAGAGAAATTCTTTATTGGTGGTGTATAGGGTAATTTTCCTGGAGATAGCACAAGAGCAAGATAGTTCTTAATGCGGAGACAAAAAATTCAAATGCAAATACCACGTTGTCTTTTCCTTCCTATTCGAGGTCCGTCTACCTGACCGCGAAAGCACTGAGCACTCCCGATGCAAAAGCCAATGCTTCTGGCCCCAAAGCCTATGGGGCTACACAGCAATACCAAGAGCTCTAGTTAACATTATCAATAACATAAGTCAACATGCACTCTCCAAGAATACAGACTGAGGGTTTGAACATTCTACTGTTCACTGTATACCATCTTCCTGTATTTTCCTGTGCTTACCCTTATACAAGACACCTGTATGGATCAAATATTTAGACGCTGATCTTACTTTGTTTAAAACTGTCACATTATCTGGTAGACCGTTAATCAAACTGGCAGTAATGGTTGCTTTTTTGTTTGCTTGTTTTTAACCCATACATATATTCTGATAGTTTATGTAGGTGCAAATGGAACCACTTTTTCTCCTGAGAAAAGAACCTTGGAAAGCAAGGTCGGTTTTCGGTAACTGTGCCCTCTTTCCACAGCAACAGCTCTATATTGGCTCAGCTGCCGGGGTGGCCCAGCTGCCCTTGCACCGGTGTGATGTTTATGGAAAAGCCTGTGCAGAATGCTGCCTCGCTCGCGACCCTTACTGTGCCTGGGATGGGTCCTCGTGTTCTCGCTATTTTCCCACTGCAAAGAGGTAAAAGACGCCTTTAAAATCATAAACAAAACAGGTTTTTCTCTACCCTTTCCCGAATCTCACCTTTGGGGCACCTTTCTTTCCATAAGTCTATCCATCACTTTTCCTGAAAGGGCAGAGTATTTTCCTTCCTAAAATAGACAGTATAATCCAAAAATGGAGACTGTGAAAGTTGAATTCTGAATCTAATGGGACAAGTAGTTTTAATAAATTATGGAGGGAAATCTAAAAGGGCACCATCACAGTCATGCATGTTTACATTTAGAAATTGAGAACCAATGTGATTTTACACAGGAGGAAACTGAGGGGCAAAGTCAAAGAGACATTTACAAGCAGACTTTAGACTGGTCTGTTGGCCTTTGGGCCAGATATTTTCCTTTTATTCTATCCAGCAACATTCTATCTTGGTTTTAAATTTTTAAAGGCAATCTATGTCCTGGGGTGAATGGAAAATCTTCAGACACAGCAATATTCACCTTTAATGTCTTTGCTCGTACACAGGAGCTCAATTATAAAATGAATTCTTCAGAGTTTGGAAACTATACTGTTTTGTATGTGCTATATATTATGTTGATCAACAATGGTAGCAATAAGACTTGAAACAGAAGACAATGTAAAAATTAAAGATACATGCATGCACATATACATGTTTCAAGGATAGTCTTAAAAATATTGATAGATTTAAAAAATGTGCCTGAATAAATATTGCTAAGCTAGACCATGACAATTATCCAAAATAATATCTCATTTTAATAAAATATCATTGTAAGTTAATTATACTTGAATGACTATATTATGAATGAAATCTTGGTTATTTAATGTCATATTATTTTCAGGAAATGCTTTTATACAGTATTCTTATAGAGAGCTCTTCTCATATTCTAAAAGTTAGACCAAAACTTGGCTTACTTTTGTTTTGAAATATATAGCTTGCTTCTTTTGAAAACCTAACAAAAGATAATCACAACAGAGATGTACTTCTTATTGATAATTGGCTTTTTTCTGTTGCTATTTACCAAAGTTTAAAACTTGAGTGGTAATAATTACAGTAACATACAATATATTTTAATGTCAATCTAAAGACTGAAGACATGCATATCAAGCCCTTTGAAACATGAGAAGGAGAAATAATCAGTGTTTTCAAGCTGCTGCATCTTTGGATCAATGTAATTTATTTTGCTTATTCTTCATTATAGATATTTTCAAAGATGCTATGAACATGAAGGTTTCATAGTTGGTTTGTTTAATAATATTTGGAGCATTTTTAATGTTTCCAAAAAAGATATCAGTTAAACTATGATCGCGATGGCTAAAGCTTTTGATTCCACCCTTCTAAAAACATTAACTATATTGAGGAATATATCTACAGTTTAAGTTTGTCATATTAGTATATATGGGTTAAAACACAGTTGCTCATCAGTAATGATTTTGAGGTAAATGTCCTTCTTCCTCATATCATATAAAAATACTGATTTTCTTATCTCTGAAACATTCAGACTTCCCAGGATGTGGCTGCATTACTTCTATACACCCATTGAGGATGGGGAAAATTAAAAAAAAAAAAAAGAAAAGAAGGCTTTAACAGCATATGACACAAAGGAATTAGTTTCAGTGTAGGGAAAATTGGTAAAATGAAGCAAATGAGATGAAGCAACCAGGAGATGACACTATGTATGTAGGTGGTTATGGATATACGAAAGATGAAAATAGAATTTCAAATAAAATGACATATCTTTAGCTAAAAAAAAAAAAAAAATTGAAACCTAGTTTGGAGAGAACAGCTTACTGATCAAAGGAACTGCAGATGATTTAATAAATAACAATGTACAATGTTTACAGCAATAAAATTTTAAATTAGTTAAAATCAAAATCATATGCTTCTTAAAAACATATTTCTATGGGATTGTTACTGTTATTCAAACAATATGGAATTCATGTTTGAATTACAGATTGGCATTGTTTCCTTGCTACGAGAAAGTATATAATATTGCCTAATTTAATAATAATTCATTTGAACTTAAGGTTTTCTTAATAAAAAAGTTGTGGACAACACCATAGTTGTATCTATTCTAAATTAAAATCCATGTTATTGTACATTTTAAGTGTGTCTGTTGTACCTACAATTCAAGAGTGAAGCAATTAGCAACACATTTTGGCTGTGCTTTGCAGATTTCCTTAATCCAATTTCACATATGTGACATTCTGCCTTCTAAAAGGAGATCCAGAAGCCTCAGACTCTTTATGGTCTTCGTGATGGCATTTTCTGAAAGCCTAAATGACAGTGAAAAGTGCCTTCCCAAATGTTTTGTGGTTCGTGTCTCACAAGTTCTCTTGTTGGTTCAATTTGAGATGTGCAGCATCTGTTTGCTAGCCTTCCTAATTCTACAAATAGAATTCTATAAATACTTTGGACTTCTATATTTGTGAATACAATAACAAATTCCATATTTGCCATTCTCAATGGCCTTTGTAGCAGCTCTTTTTAGGGATGGTAATTAATTTTGCAGCAGGACAATGCCTTTAAAATAGATTCAGTAAACCGTTAAACACGTGTTCCCCAAATTTTTCCAGTATGTTGTGCACAGCGAGCACCATTTTTTTAGCCTCTTGCCCAAATGACACATCTCCTACTTTTGAGCATCACGGTGGCTACAGTTCATGTCTCCTTTGAAGCCAACTGTCAAGTAAGCTGTCCCGAATGTGTCACAGCTAAAATATAATTTGGACATTAAAATACAGGAATCAATGATTTTATTTTTCTAAGAAAATTTGGCTTTTCTGAATGCTATAGAAAGGTGTCTTCTCTCTTGCCATCTTCTGACAAACCGAGTTCTTGTGCTTAAATGAACCGTGGGTTTGTAGTTCTTCCTCTTATTCACTTCACAGGTAATGGCTGGAATTTATGGTCCTGTGATCATAAAAAGTCATTCGTTTCATTGTCTAGTTTAACAAATGATGAATATATAAGAAAAACTGAAATGATATTTAATTTTTTTAATTTAACAAAGTTCTAAAAGTTACATGTATTTTTTAAAGATCCATCATGTGAATTGTAACTTTCAAGGTAATTAATTTTAGTTTTCATATATGACCTAAAGAAAGAAAAAATTTTAACTCTTTCATGAAGAAGTGGGTTGCCAAATTGTATGTTTTGCCCTTACAAGCTAAACACATGGTTTCTAGATGCTAGATTCTTATTGATTGACATCAAGTTGCTAAAAGTCATGAATTCTGATAGTAATATTTTGACTTTAACTATACTCTCGGGATATTTGTATACCTGTTATCAAATGAAGCTATCTCCTCCTGTAAAGATTTTAAGTTTAAAGGAGTATGAGTATTTCTAATCTGTCTTAGAGTGAAAATGGATTGACTCATTGGCAGGGGTTTGTTTTGGTTTTGTGAATTTTTGTTGTTGTTGTTCTGTTTTGTTTTTCTTAACCTGTATAAATCCTCTTGGGGCCAGTTATTACAGGTGTAAACGGATGCTTTTAATTTCTTCCTAATAAGCTCTGGAGTTTCTAATAGAGAGTTTGATCTCTCTTCATTCATATGACATATCTCCAAGAAGGAACAAATAGAGATAACATATATATTTTAATGTAATTATTTTAGACGCACGAGACGACAAGATATAAGAAATGGAGACCCACTGACCCACTGTTCAGACTTACAACATCATGGTAAGTCCCTTTTTTCTCTTTCTCTAACTGTGATAAAATTATACACAATAATACATATCCACAGCATGCATGTAGAGTATATTCTTCTTCCAAAATACGTAGAGAATCTAGTAAGAAAGTCTAAAGAACACAATCATTGAAAAAAATATTATTTTTATTTACTAATAAGAAATATTCAAAAATTTTAGGACTTCATGTGATATAAAGTTTACTTATATTAGCAAAAAGAAGTTTAAGTATATGAGTATATAATACTTGCTGAGGAGTGTACAAAACAGATATACTCATAAAAATTAATTAAAAGAATAAAACATAGTCTTAAAATAAATGATGCAAATTATTCACTTCCTCATGATGGTATATACCCAGAAATTGTTATTGGATAGAGTAATCAAGTAGAAGATAATTAAAATGCCTTCACACTGAATTAATAATAGGCTATTCCCTTGAACTGAGCATTTTGGACCAAATTCATTTTAAGCTCCCTAACAGAAGCCAAGGTCTATTTAATGTCAAGACAGCTTATTTAATGATGAAATCTTGATTTAAAAATACAGTCAAATGGTAGGTCCCTCAGAGCCCCCACTCCAATAATTTATGAAAATAATCATGATACTATGCTTCCCTCTACTGGGGAAACTCGTCAATGGCATCATTGCTGATGAAGGATTCATAATTAGCATGGGCACAATTTAAAGGTGAACATAGTTATTGAACATCATTATCCTATTCACTTTGTTGGTGCCTTTTCCATTAATCCTATAAGAAAAGCTATTTTTTTAACTAACTTTGATTTTAATCTACTGACTGTATGTAGTTTATGAGTAATAATAGTTCCATTAATAGAAGGCAAGAACACTGTACAAACCCCACTCCCAGTACACGATACAAACCTAGTCACTTTTCTCAAATTCAGACTGCCCTGCTGTGTAGTCTGGCTGTGCCAGTCTGGATTCACAAACGCTCACCACGGTTTTTGAAAAAATGTCTTTACTCGGATGAGTGACCATGAACAGAACTTGTTTTGGATTGCCAAATTCGTTAGCCAGTGTTTTCCCTGCCTGTTCTTATCTTCATTACAAACAAGAAAGCAAAACTTAAATAAAAATAAAACCAACTGACCTTCTCTGGTTACACAAGGAAGAGGGAGAATCTGTCTTCCCATCTGCTCAAAGCCAATTGCTGCAAGGCACAAGCCAGAGGCCGCCACCTTGCATCTCTCTCTCTCCTGTCTCTGATGCCATGCGTTCCTCCCATGGCCCTCTGCCGGGGCTGTTAATCCATTGAAATGACTGCACTGAAGATAATACTCATGATCTTGGGGAGGGGTTCATGACACAATTAACAGACCAGGATTAGAAGACATTCAGGATACATTCATTGGTTCACAGCGACACCTCTGCTCAGGGCCCAGGTTAACTCTCTCTCTCTGGTTCACAGCCTTTCATCCCCATGGCCCTTTGGCCTCTGCCCCAGGGGCTAGAAATCCCACCCACTGTTCTGCCTCATGATCTCATAGGCTCAAATCTCAGGAATACAGTCCCTCTGCTCTGGCTCAGCATGGCTCCTTTGCTCTGCCCCATGGTCTCCAGCCAGGCTTGAGATGTCACTGGTCTTGGTATCCACAACTTTAAGCAGGGATTGTGAATGTGCTACTGGTAGTTCACTATTGATGGTCCCAGGATTCTGTCTGTGTGTTTCTCATCTGCCTCATGCTTGTAGCTAGGGGAGTGGCTTTGGTGGAGCTGTGGTTTTTGTCTTTCAGTGCCATACCCCACAAGGGAAAGAAGGGTCATGGCTAGGCTCACATCCTCTAGTAAGGTGGAGACTCAGAATAAGTTCCACCTTAATCATGTCTATTAGCATAACAGCGAATGCCCTCCATAATGGGATTATAGCCAAAGTTATAGAGCCTAGAATTTATAATACATCATGTAAGAGATGTGGCTTGAAGGGCCAGGAGAATGGACTACATCTCTGATTACTAACCACAATATGGGGGGTTCACACCCACCAGCTACTCCCAAAAGAAAGAGGAGACTCTGCTTCCATACAAAGTTGTAATCTGGGAGAGCTTCTATAGGGCCCCTGTGATAGACTCTATGGCAGGGAGTTTTGTTTGGATTTGAGGTTATGTGCAAGTAGGATGCATTAGTAATATATCTTTGACATATTCCTTAATTTTTTCAAGTGGCTTATTTGTACAATAAGGCATTCAGTATTCTTCCAAGAATATATTTTTAATGGAAAAAATATGATCATTATCATTCCAGAGACACCATGTTATAAATTATCAATTCATTATATTATTTATTTACTTAGATGTTAATGATCATAATTAGAAGTAAAAGAAAAGGATAGACCTACAGTTCATTTCCAGTTTATTAAACTTTAAACTATGACGGCAGAAATGCTACTATTTTTCCACTATATCCCTAATGCTACAACAAATATAATAATTTGGCTATTGTAGATATTCAACAACTATTTATTGAATTAATGAAGACATGATTTAAATATTCCATGCATCTACCTTGACAGTTGTCTTATTGTTTTTATTATTCCATAGATATTTAAATTAGACCATGTATATTATTTATTATGAAAATCTATGTTTGTCATGCACAGTGTGATGGTTAAATTTTATGTCAACTTGATAGTACCTGTGTGGAAGTAGGGGTAGAGTCCAGCCTATCAATCAAGTCACAAGCTGGCGATGACTCCTTGGGGGTCTGGTCTTTTTATCAGAGGGACACTGATGGGAACAGAGTCCTCTCTTGCCACGTTATACCTTCCTGCTCGCCTAACTTGCCTGTCTGGCTCTGGGTTTAGTGGCCATGTGGCCTACCAACCCCGGGAGCTTTGGCACCTTGTCATGTTCTTACCTACCTTGGATCCATGTACCTTTGTCCCCATGGACTGATGATGTCCAGCTTCCTGTATCTCCCTCCTGTTTCATCCACCAGCCACTGCATGAGTCAGAGTCTCCAGTTAGAATTTGACCCATGGAATTGAGTTGAACTGGGGTGGGTCAATTTCTTGATATAAAGTTCTTTCTTATACATATGTGGATATCAATGGCTTTGTTTTTTGAGAAAACTCAGCTTAATACACATGACTTTTAGTAGTACTATTCTCTCTGGAAACATCATTGTCAACCAACCAGTTAACTAACAATTGTACATTAGGGTACTGGGCCACGTGTTGGCAATCATGTATATGAGGGTTGTTTTCAGCTGGGTTCTCCAGAGGAGCAGAGCCTGTGTAGCTTATGATTCATGTATAGAAAGAAATTTACATCAATAAAATAACAATTGTAGGGCAAATCCACGTACAAGCTAGTTCCAAGTCCAGGGGGTCCAATGTGGGCTGGAAGCTTCTCCTGACTCATTTGCTAGAGATAAGGTGGATGACTGGTGACTGCAGAGGCAAAGGAATCCACAGTAAGCAGGTCAGGCTTATAGCTGAAGAGGCCAAAGAATTTAAAGTCAGCAGGCCAAATGGCATTCTGCTGAAGATGATCAGGATTGGTGGGCCATAAGGCAGACCAGTAGTCAAGTCTAAATGAAGGGAGGTCAAGGGGTCAGATGTAGGATGCAGACCCAGCAAATACAAACAAGCTTCCCTATGGTGTCACTTATATCTGAGGCAGGCCACACCCCCATAGCAATTTATTACCTGAGGACTGTCACCTGAATAAGACTGCTGCATTGCACCCGGCTTTTATCTCATGTGGAAGCTTACAACTAATTGACTAGAATTACATTGTGGTAGGTCAGATTATAAGGGATCACTAGGGGTTAACTTCAAAACCACTGAGGATTGTACCCAGCCAAGTGGACACAAAACATGAACTGTCATAGTTTACCCCAGTGGTTGTCAACCTTCCTAAAGCCACAACCCGTTCACACAGTTCCTCAGGTGGTGGCGACCCCCTAACCATAAAATGATTTTCGTGGCTTCTTCATAACTGTCATTTTGCTGCTGTTATAAATCGGGTGACTCTTCTGAAAGGGTCGTTTGACCCCCCAAGGGGGTCGTGACCCACAGATTGAGAACCACTGGTTTACCCTTTGTCAATTTAGGACCTTTATACATCTCCTTAAACATGATATAATCTCTAAATATAGACAATCATAAAAGCCATGTTTGTTCCTAATATGGTGCAGCCAACATGCATACAGGAGAAAATGCACGACCCAATTTACATATTTAAAATTTTCACAAAATGTTTCCATTATCTTTTAAGTTCATTATTATGCAAGCTTTTAAAGCTCCTTCCTAAAATCTTACTGTCCAATCTGTTCGTTTAACCACCCATTTTTATCATCGAGCCAGTGAGTATTTCAAAGTAATATATTTCTTGAGCTATCGGTGCACATATGGTTAGGGTAGACCTAACATAATGATATTCAAAAGAATGAGACTGTGGCAAAACAAACACTGCTGAGGATGAAATGAATGAGCTTTGAAAAATGCTTCAGATTTTTAAGATTTTGTTTATGAAATTACAAAGAGGCATATTGAGTGGATAAAGCCCATGAAGACTTGGCATATAGCATTACGCAGCTTTGGAAAGTAACATGAACGTGAATACATTTTCTCATCCTCCTTCAACCAGAAAGCACTCTAAAGGGTGAAGGCATTGCTGTGGTGCCACAGGACAGGGCATTTTTCTTGGGTAAATGATTCCAAGTAGACGTTTGTAATACATGGAACCAAAGAGAAAAATTCACAGATTTCTGCAGCAATAATATATGACTTTTTTGAAGTTCTCATTATTTCTTTCCTGTTTGTATTGCTAATGGACCAATCATAAAGCACAAGACACTTCAGTAAATTTTAACTGTTTGGCAACTAAGGCGGCAGGCATTCCTGTTTGACCAGGTTGTGTGTTACCATTAGGAATCAGTGAATTCTCTTGAAAGAAGTGATGTCAACATACTACATAGAACTATAGTGGGCAATAATCCAAAACACAACCCCATTAAATCATGTATGCTCTCTTGCTAATGTCACTTCTCACATTGAATAAAATATATGTGCTCACGTGGAAACAAATCAAGATATAAGATGTTTTCATAGAAAGCCGCTAAGCAACTTGAAGCCAGATTCTGGAAGATCAGTTCCAGCTGTCATGGTAAACATATTCTGAAACACTCCATATTTTAAATATCCTGAGATTTAATAGAGAGACTATATACAATAACCTTGAATTAAGGTGGAAGAAAGTTCATATTAGATGGAACCTTTAACACTCACTCAGCACCAGGCTCCCTCTTGTGTAAAGGCTGCACTAGTGTTGAACTTTCCGAGGTGAAACAGAAAAATCCGGTCCCTTGATTTAAGTATACGTTAGCTTCCATCACTGGTGGCTGTTCACCTAGTGAATTTTAGTATCACCCTAAATATACGTGGTGGCAGGTCTTCTTGTCTTTCTACTCACACTTTATATGTAGGATGTTAAAGAAAAATCTCAGATTGTTCCCAACTTATTTTCTTCCTAAAATGACTGTTATGTACAAGAGTGGACATATCCAGATTTGCATCCAAGAAAATGAGTGGCAGTCAGTTTACCTCGAAGCTACCTCCAATTTTCACTTCTTAGCAAGCACGCTATGATATGAATTTCCAGAAAGGAAAACCCCGCACCCTACGTTAATAGTTTATTTTCCTAAGTTATCAACATTGCAGAATTTGGAAGCTTTGAAATATTTCATATCCTAACTTTTAACTTAATGACATATTTAATTTTGCTTCTCTGTAGTTCTCTCGACTGTTTTAAATGTATGCATTTTGTTTCTAGCATTCCAGAGCAAAACAGTCACAGAATTCAATCTCCTTCATTCTCTCCACAACTAGCCCACTCTCACTGGATGTCTGGTTGACAACAAAACCGATCAGAATTTCATAAGACATCTTTGGTAGTGCTGTCGTTAGAGTCTGCAAATTGTAAATTTAGTATTCGGTATCAATGGAGTGATGCTAATATGGCCAGTGTCTTCGTTACTTATATTCACGGGGAAAGGTAACGATGAATCTGAGCGATCAGCCCCCAAAGAGCCCTCCAGATTTGATAAATGAGCATGATGTCAGCCTTACAAATATCCCAGGTTTTTCTCAGGGATCATGCTCGTCGACTAACATGCCGCTGGATGTCGCGTGCACCATCATTTTCTGTACCGCGACGGAAAAGTGTCCACGGTGGACAGTCCACTGGGGATCACAGCATCAAGCCGGGGCACCAAACAACTCAGTATTAGTGCAAAGCAGACATGAACCACCATGCAGAAGACAGCCAGGACGCGTGCCTGTTTTAGCTGTCGTCAGGGCGGTGAATGAAAGGGGGAAGTCACTGCTTGGACACCACACAGACATTCCAGGTTTACTTTCTGTGGTCACGCTATTCCGTTGGACTATAACCTGCAAGGAGAGGCTTTATTTTAAAGAGTCATCAGGTTGCTCACGGCCCAGATGACCAGCAGGATGAAGGAAATAACCATTCTGGAAGAAAACAACTTCACAGCAAATCAAGCGCCAATGTAAGGCACGCGCTGATATCCTTGTGAAAATGTGAGCGTGCATGCAGGGTAAAGCATGCAGTCTGCCCTCTATGATTACTTTTGCGAACCCCTTTTGAAACTGCTTTCCCTGGATACACGCTATTACCACAAGCACCCCTCTTTAACACAATATTAGGCAAACAGCTCCATTTACTCCTTGGATAAATGAATGTGCGTGACGCAACTACACAGACAATCTAACAAGACGTTTAAACTAGTTGGTGGTAGAGTGTTCCTGAATTAGTGTGTTATCAGTGATATTCATCTGTCCATACACCTACATTTTAACTGCTATAACAGTTTTTGAGCATGCAGTTTCTCTTTAAAATTTCAAAACTTTTACAGAAAGCATACAATGCAAACAAAGATGGTATTTTCATTATTGTTTACAAAAGTTTCTGCTTCAGCAAATGGGTATTTCCCATCACCCATCTACCTCTTGGGAAAAAGTAAAGTATATGTTAAAGTACATGTTTCCTGGCTTATTTAAAGTAAAAATTCCTATGGTAATTTCACTCTGGCATATAGATTACTTGGGTTTCTTCAGTAATGCATTTGCTATAAAAATTGCAAAAATAAAACACACCAGATGTTCAATATCAACTCTGTAAATATTACAGTAGATATCTTCATACTGGTATTGCTTTTAAAGGACTGATTTTCAGCCTGCCCTGTACCAAACAGTGTTGCAGCTTTTGACACCATGAGAGATCAAGTTCACTGGGAAGTATAGTTATTGGAACAACTTCATAATGAATTATACAACTCCCTTACGCTTTAATATACTTTTAATGTTATTTTAAAAATAAGATATCACTGACTCTCCATAATGAAGAATTACCTGACAACAGTAATTATAAGATATTCTACCCTGTCTTTTCTGTTTTTCCATCTACATTCTAATGAGCCTTTTAAAAGTAGATCCAAGGATGACTGGAAGCTACTAGAATTGGAAAATTCTACATGTCATATCCTGGTTGATGATTACTTTTAAGAATCCAAAGGCAGGTCTTAATTTAGTGAATAATAAAAAAAGTAGTTAAAATTTTCAAATTGACTTTAGCAAGTTGATGAATCATAAGTTTTATTTTTCTCTGAGTTTCATCACCTCGATCTTTTTTGGACTTGACAGATAACATCCGCTAAATTTCATGTAATAAAATGACCCTATTTCTGTGAATAGATTAAGCACATGAACCAGAATGCACGCCTCTGCTTGTATTCCTCGGTGCACGCGTGCATGTGGCCATACAGTCTGTAAACATCTATTGAGAAGTTATTTGGTATAAGACTCATCTAATTATCGGAGAAACATTGTGCTAGCACAATATCTTCATAAATAAATACACAATGGCGCCTGTTATACAGGGATACTCCAGAATTTGTTTTACTCACACTTCTTTATAGGAGCTTATTAACTCTGTTGTTAAGATTCAAATCTTAAAAGTCAGGATCCTAAAATATGCAAGAATGTACAGTAGGAGCCACTTAACTCAAACAGAATGAATTTTTTTTAATCTTCCATTTAAATAATGAATGTCCTTCTAATAGATACTAATTCAGCTATGAAATTACACTATTAGCTACTGGTACGTAAGAGGTATTTTTCATCGTATTGAAGTCAAATTAGATAGTTTTCTACTGATAAAAAACCTGCTATGTTTCTTAGAAAATCATGTACAATTGAGTAAGAAAATTGTAAGTACTGATGTGTTGACTTTCAGTAGAGCACATATACAATTTTATATGTCACTATAAGTTTGGTAAGCAGCATATCCCTTCTGATATTGTGTGGCCTTTATGCTGAATATTTCTAAGGCAAATATTAAAATTACACTGTGATGGAAAACAACTGGA